ATGTGGCCTCTTTCAATACTGACATGACTACTCTCTGCTCAGATGTCTTGGCTGCACTGCAGGATTTATCCAGAGATATCCGGGATCACGCCCCGCTCGCCCAACCTCCTCTGCCTGATCTCTATACCTATCTTTCATCTTTTTATATATATCTATGATACCTGCTATTTTTGCTACTGTTATGATATTTTTGCGGCAAGTCTGTTGGCCTCGATACTGTGATGTACTGTACAATATTTTTCTCTTTCTATGCATGCTATGCTTGGATGTCAGATTCTTATTTTGATACATCTGTCTATTCTTGACTCCATTATCAGGTGCATTCTAGTGACTTCAATGAGAGAGTGCTGCCCAAAATTTTTCAAGACCATCATTTTTCTTCTCTCTTTAGTTCATTTATTATCCCATTTACACTTACATGTCCACTGTGCACTGTTATTATCCCTTTTGTTATCTGATGAGATTTTGTCCCAATGCCATCTTTTTAGGACCATAGTCAATTCCAAGTTTGGAGGGGTTATATCACCCACTTCAGATATTTGTGTCTTAGCCATTCTTTGCCTTAGCTACATTGGTATATTTTTTCCTTTGTTCTCTTTGCAAATTGAGAACACTGTGTTGTTTAAGTTTGGGGGTAATGGGTGTTATTTGTAGTGTTCGCTTTTAATTCAAAATTTTGAGCATGACTTATGTATTTAAGGGATTTTCTATGATTGGTCCATGACTAGCTGTGACTTTGATCTTTTAAGGACTATATTGCTTAAAATTTAAAAATTGCTTGACTTGAGAGTCCAATACTCCTTGTGTGCCTTGTCGATGTCATTTAGGAGTAAATTTTTTGAAAGATTGATATCATGCTTGCATTTGTAGTCCACGTCATCTTGATTTTGTGATTGCTTTGAGATTCGCTATAGGATTCTACACTAGCATAGGCACACACTAGCATTCATTTGTGGGGTACATGCGTTGTTGATTATTGAATTGGTTATATCGCAATTGGGCTAGTAATGCATTGAAAACTTTCATTCTTAATAAAGGTGGATAACAAACCCTTTTCATTGAGTAGTCGGGATTCTAGCCTCATCAAGCACAGAATTTCTCGCGCCAAAAGGTGGAGGGCTCAAACTCTAGGTTAATAATCCAATTGATAAAAAATAAATAAATAAATAAATAAAATTTGCAAAAGTAATAAAAAAGTGAGGACTTCTCCCAAAAGGTGACAAGTGGGAAATGATTAGATAGAGGTTGTTTTGATTTGTAGCCTAGTTGATTTGAGCTTGTAAGTTCTTAGGGGTGTTTGAACACCTAATACCCTAAAATCGTCCAGTTTGGGAGTCATCGACCTAACGCTCGACCTCATGGATCGCTAAAAAGCTTAATAGATTAACACATTACACTATGCTTCCATATTTGATCTTAAGATTAGAAAAAAAAAAATAAATAAATAAAAAAATAAAATAAAATGAATGAAAAGAATAAGCGCACCTAGATGAATAAAGCTTTAATATAAGGCCCACTTTTTGTCTTGATGATCGGTATTAGATTTGTGTGCTAGTTTGAGGGTAAGGATGTGATCATTTCTTTAGTTGGCTAAGATAGCAACATATTTGATGCCGGTCCACTCAAAAAGGATTCTAGAGTTGTTTTGAATTGCATGATCATTTTCTTAATGTGTGGAGGACCATACTTGCTTGCTTGATATTGAGATTATGGGAGATTGCTTGGAAATGGTTGAAAAATTGCATACTTGAGATAGTTTTCTCCTAATGCTTGTTTGCAATATTGGTGCCTCTTTTGTGAGAATGAGCTTAATGTTTGTGGGTATCATTTTTGGAAACCCTTACGAAACTTCACTCGTCCACTAGGAGTAACCTAGGGGTTTAAAAGGCTTGTTGCATATACTAAATGCAATTGTGTTCCCTACAAAAGTGGCATTATCCTTTTATTGCTTTCTAGTTTATAGTTAATTAGTTGTTCATTTCATTCCTTTACTTTGTAGTTCATTGCTAAGGACTAGCAATATTTAAGTTTGGGGGTGTGATGAGCGCTAAAAAGTGCGCATTTAAACCCCTTAAGCTCGAGTATTCTAGGACCTTTATCTATCTTACTTTCCCGTTTTAGACTAATTTCATGTTAATGCCCTTTTTAAGTGCTTATTCTCAAAATAAGTCAATTCAGCCAAATTAGAGCATAAAAAAAGTAATCTCAAGCTGAATGGAATAATGGAGCAAAGTGGTGGAAAATTAGCAATCTTCAATCGATCAGGAATACTTTCGATCGATCGCACATTGATTGATCTCACCTCACCAAGATGGATCAGACCCCCTGTCCTTATCCTCAAAGAATTTTCATCTTCAATCGATCCAACTTTTTTCAGATCGATCGAACTTCCTTGGTCTTATCCTCACCTACCACTTTTGTCTTTTTCCCAAAATATCCCAAAAATATCTCAGATTTGTCTTATTCCAAAAAGGCGCCACCAACGATTGATCGATCGAGCCTAAATTCGATGGATCTGGCCACAGTTCGATCGATCTCATCTGAATTCGATCGATCGAACCTCCTCAAGTCCGAATTAAAACAGAGTCCAGCTTATTAAAAGATGGCTCATGGTGCAATCATTGAAGGGACCCTAGTGCACGAGACCTGACTATTGGGTGTCATACTTGAGCTACCTATAAAAGGATTTTGAGCCATTTTCACATATATCATCATATCTTGATAGAACATAACTTAGAATCACATATCTTGGAGAGGAGGCTAGAGCTTAGAGAGACATACACTATTTTGGGAGTTCTTCCATTCTTCTAGGGTTTCCATCAAGAAGAATAGCATTTCTACCATGGAGATGGCCCTTGAGGGTTGGATGACTACATCAATGAGTGGCTAAACATCTTCTTAGGGCTAGAGTTAGTCCTAAGCATGACTTCTAGACCTTAATGCTTTGTATTTTAAGGGGATTTGTGTTGTAATATTGTCTTGACACTTGATTTATATATGAATCTTGTTCTTACAATGATTTGTGTTGATTAATACTTCCAATTGATTATTTTATTCTATCCAAATGTCTATGTATGCTAGAGTTGATGTTCATATGTTTATCTCTTGGTTTTTGTGATATTAATGCATGTCTATGGGTATTGATGCTATGAATCTAGAGATTCTCAAGGCATAGTACTTAAATAGAATACTCTTGTGGTTTGTTTGATAGTTCATACTCATTTCTTGATGGATTGTGCCTCTACCTTAGTTTAATTAGTTTAATTTTCATGTCCTTAGCTTATAATTAGTGTAGTTGCTTTACTTTCTTAAATGTGAAGACAATCCATGCTTGTTGTTTAATGTTCTATACTTAAAAATGCAAGTAGTATAATTTTCTAACTTGTTAGTGTGTTGATTGTGAGCTTAAAGGAAGGATTAATGGCTTAGTTTGATATATTATGCTATTCACTAGGTTGTCTAGACAATGTATGCTTAATTAGTCAATTTATGCTTGTTGATTCAATTAATCACACATCTTTGAATTATAACACATGTTTCTCCTCATTCATTACACATTGAATGTCTAGAATGGTGATGTTTAGTGGTAACCTCTAGATCCCAAGACCTCTCTCTCTTATTCTCTACCCTTTTATTTACTTTAGTTGTTTAGTATTGAATTCATTTACATCATAATTAGCCAACAAACAATCTTTTGATCACTCGACCTACTAATCCGACTTTGTTTCCATATTAACATAGCCCCCAATCCCTTGGGATGATCCCTACTTACCCTAGCTATATTAGTAGTTAGAGGTAGTAGTGGCTCTTTATAAATTTAAACTTGGCCACACTTTTATTGCAACTTTGGGTTGTTTAAAATGACCTTGAGAAAGAGACACACCAGAAATGTATTATATTTTTTTTTGTATTATGTGTTGGGACAGGTTGGATAAGTCTTAAAAGGCCCCTTTTTAGTAGAGGTCATGCCAAAAAAAAATTTTTTTTTTTTTTAATTGGTATCAGTTTAGGGTCGTTACAAATTTGGTATCAGAGTGATGGTTCGAAAACCATTAGGACGACAGGTAGAGGCCTACATAGGGTTGCATAGGAAGTCATTTGCATAGTTTATGTGATTATTTGTTAAAGTATTTTGCTATGTGAAAAAGCACACTTAACTGTTTACTTGTTTACGTGCTTATGTGCCTATATGCTTATATTAATGTGTTCATTGCATTGTCTTGCATGCTAACTGTTTGTGCTGTATCCTTTTGTGTTGAGTAGTTCGGACCTTACTATTATCGTTATTAAACTATTTTCTTGTTTTATAGTACAATGCCACCATGAAAGGAACCCAGAGGTGTTGGCTTTATGCCGACAAGAGGTGATGTTGGCAAGAGCTCTAGCTCCAATCCAGCGGAGCATGTCAATGAGGATATGCTTCTTAGGGACTTAATTCCCCCTAGAAGTGTTCCAACCAGAAGGGACAATGTTGAAACACCCGTTGAAGAGGGTGAAGGTTCCGTAGAATTAGCATTAAACCGCTTGTTACAGAGAGCCTTGAGGGTTACAATTGCTACTCATCTGCAGCCGGTACCACAACCCGTAGTTCAAGTAGAGTAGACACCAGCACAGAAATGTCTCAAGATTATTAAAGGGATTTCTAAGTTATTGCCAGTGATGTTTGAGGGTGGTGCAGATCCAATGGTAGCGGACGACTACATGGACCAAGTGGAAACCCATTTGACTTTTATGGATGTGACGGATAATCATTTGAAAATCATCCTAGCCACTTACAAGTTTTCAAAGGATGCCAAGCTTTGGTGGAAGTCAGTCACCAACCGGCATAAAATGGAGGAGATAAGTTCGGAGATGTATAAAGAGTTGTTTTATGAAAAATATTTTCCGATCACTAAGAGATGGGAGCTAAGGGATCAGTTTAATGGCTTTATCCAAGGCAATATATCAGTGACGGAGTATGAGAACAAGTTCACCTCTCTCTCTCTCGCTTTGCTCTAGAGATGGTAAGCAATGAAGTTGATAAGACTCAGAAGTTTATCTCCAGGCTTGATTACAAAATGAGGCCGTTGATAACGGCACAATACATCAAGGTTTATTCAGAGGCAGTAGAAAGAGGATTGATACTAGAGGCAGAGGCCAAAGATAAAGATGCAAGAAGGGAACAGTGGAAGCAAAAGAGGAATGAAGGGTCAACTTCAGAGGGACCTTCATGGAAGAAAAACAAGGGTGGTTTGTCTCAGTTTCAGAGGCAACAGTCTACATGATCCGTTCCTACCACTCATATGCCAATTGGGTCGGACAAGAGTGGAGTCATTTGTTTTCAATGTCAGTAACCTGGACATTACAAGTTCAATTATCCTATGAAATCGTCTTCAGTTTCTTCAGCTCTGAGAGCTTGTTATGGGTGTGGCCAGCAAGGCCACTTGATTCGAGACTGTCTAAGTCAGAGAGCAGGTACCACTAGGGGCAGAGGGTCACGGCAGAGGCCGTCACAGTCAGCTACAGTTCAGTTAGGTTTTAGACCACCGCCACCACCACAGCCTGCCATGTCTTCACAAGGTTCACGACCAGTTAGGAAGGATACTCCTATTATGTCAGTGCAGCAGTTAGATGTTTAGGTTGGCAGTTCTTAGGCATAGGCACCACAGGGATGTGTCTTTGCACTCGCTCAGACTAATGTATCTTCTGGTCCATCAGTGCTCCGAGGTATTTTTCCAGTGTTTGGTTCTTGGGCTCGTGTTCTCTTTGACTCTGGTGCATCTCATTCCTTCATTTCATCATTATTTGCACTTGCATCAGGGTTAGAGGTCAGTTTCATGGATTGAGCATTATGTGTTGATACGTCAGTTGGGGTTTCAGTGTCCTTGAGCCGAGTTATGAGGGATTGTTCCATTGTGATAGCCGGGCGGACTTTTGTGTTTAACCTTATCCTCCTAGAGATGACTAGCTTTGATGTCATTCTCGAGATGGATTGGTTAGCCTCCTTTCATACCACGATCGACTGTTCCAGAGGTAGAGTCATAGTTTGCACTCCTGAAAGATACTGTTTCTTTTCATGGGAGATCAAAGTGATTCCCAACCTTCATCATTGTATGGAATTCGTGGATGGAGTCGTGGTGATTACTTCTTGGCTAGTCTTCTAGCCGAAGAAGATGATGTTGTGAAAGAGGATTATCCTACAGTTGTTGGTGATTTTCTGGATGTGTTTTCGGAGGATTTGACAGAGTTGCCTCCACATCGAGAAGTGGAGTTCACTATTGATTTGATGCCCAGTACCGCACCGATTTCTATGGCATCGTATCATCTGGCACTAGTTGAATTAGAAGAATTGAAGAGGCGGCTTGATGATTTGAGGATGAAGGGTTTTATCCGACCGAGTGTATCACCATAGGGCGCACCGATCTTGTTTTCTAAAAAGAAAGATTGTGACGACCCTAGTTTTTAGGCCAGCGTGTCCTATGATGAACCGAAGATTGACCCGATAACGGATCCGATATGCGAAAGTGAAAACAGAAAACAAGACTCTAAAAAGTCAAAGAGACCTTCCATGAGGTCGTGGAACTCAATAAGAACTGATGTAGAAGTAAAAGATCAAAAATACGACAAATAAGCCCCCAGGGGCAAAATAGTCATTTTTAAAAAATGTGGATTCGGGTACCATTGAGCACACCGCTGGAAAGACAACAAAAAAATAATCAGGATGGACTCAAGAATCACATGATTCGGAGTCCGAACGAAGGAGAAACGGCCTGACGAAAAAAAACGAGCACTTAAGGCTAAAAGGGTAAACTAGTAATTATCCAGGAAGATTCGGGTGCAACCGATTGGAAAGACAGTAAAAAATTAGTCAAGTTCAAAAAAAAGTTCACTCAATTTGGAGTCCGGACGAAGGAGAAACGATGGTTTGAAGTTGAGACGTCGCGGCAGCCCGACGAAGGCCATGGCGCACACGGCGCCCATGCACGAGCCCACCAGCGCCCATGCCGGCGCCCAATGGCATGCACAAGCTGACAGCAAAAAAAAAAAAAAAAGTGAGATTCCAGAACTGAGGCTTGAAACGGAGGCCAAGACAAGTTTTTCTGGAAAAACACGAAGAAGAAACCCCCCCTAAAATCGAGTTTTCTACCTGACTACATGAACGGAATAAAAAAAAAACTCACTATGAAATTCCCAAAATGCCCCTAGATCAGAATTGGACAAGAGGGCAAAAAGCTGCCACAGCATCTGTCTACATCTAAGATCAAAAACGGGCAAGAAGATGAATTTTTCTAGAAAAACACAAAGAAAAAACCCCCCTCAAAATTGAGTTTTCTACATGACTCGTGTAAGAATTAAAAAAAAATGCAATGTAGAATATCCGAAATGCCCCTCCATGAAATCTGGTCATGGAGGTCCAAAAAGCTGCTAAATAAAAAAAAACAGAAAGCTGAACTTTGTAATGGATTTCCGATACCAAGACGATATTTTCTAGAAAAACACGAAGAATAAACCCCCCCTAAAATTATGTTTTCTAAGTGACCATGCTGAAAGAAGAAAATAAAACTAATGTGAAAAGTCTATAATACCCCTAGAACAGATTATGTAACTAAATTGAAAAATGATTTCATAGGAGGCTCAAATCACAAAGGAAAGTGTTTTTCCCAGAAACGATCATGCATGCAGACGTAAATGGTGATTTTGAGCGCGTGGGAATGGTCCGCGGCTCCCGGAAATGGCCGAGTCAAAATCTGACCCCCTAACGGCCAAAAAGGCGAAAATTAACTTGAAATGAGAAAAGTCAAAACCAAAATTTGGAAATGGTTTCAAATGACCATTTGGTCCTTGGCCACACTTCATACATGATTAATGAGACCCTATGAAAGAATCAAAATGGAATTCCCACGCCCTATGCAAAAGTTATGACATAACAACACATAAATTTTCAATATTTCCATATGAACTTTGAAAGCACAAGTGTATAGAATACGAGATACATGATATTGGCCTCTGGCCTCATCTTATACATGTTGAAAAGGAGTGTAATTATGTACACTTTACATATGTGGGATCGAAGAATACAAGTTTTATCAAAATAAACAAAAGTAAACATGATATGCTAACATGTGCATATTCAATATCATCAAAAATACTTCAAGACTTCTAGCCTATCTAAGAGTGTTATGTATCCCACAATAAAGCTTCTTCACCTGTAAAACACCCAATAACTTCGGGGTGAATAAACAAGACTAACAAGTTTATTCGTAGGGGATGAGCATGCATCGACTCGATTTCTTTAGAGATTTTTAGGACTAACATGATATAGTTCAAAAGGGATCATGCCACCTAACGTCTATATCAAAGATTAGATTCAGGGATCATCCTAAGATACCATGAAGTATAAGCAACAAGAATCATGATATATATATATATATATATAAAACAAGTCAAAGTTGGGATAATCCAAGAACATGACAAAAAGGTTACTTGAACATAGATTAACATGAATTGCATTATCAATACAATTAAACAAGGCTTAGAATAATTCCATACAACACGACAAAAGGATACTAGAACATAGATTAATATGAATTGCATTATCAATATAATTAACATGATTGGAGCATTCCAATTAACACAAAAGGGTTAATACACGAAATCAAGAACGTGGCATAATATCTATGCTATTAGACAAAGTTGGAACCATTCACATAACACGAAAAGAGTTACACATGACATCAAGGATAATGCATAATATCTATGCATTTAAACATGGTTAGAATCTACCACATAACATGAAAAGATTCTTAAATCTTCAAGGAATACAACACCTGAAATTTAAGGAGTTAAATCACGAATGAAGCATAAAATCAATGCACTGAAACAAGATTGGTGCATTTCACATACACGACAAGTTTAAATCTTCAAGGAATAGCAACTTGAAATTTAAAGAGTGAAATCAACCAATGTGGAAACTTGGATATCGCCCGGATTAAAACCGTACTCTTGAGATCACTTTAGGGCTACTAACCCATGGGTACCTTTCCCCTAGTGTGCACTATAGTGTGGAGGGACATTCCCCCGTACTAGAACCGAGTCCTAGCCATGTCAATTCTTGATTGATATCCCAAGTCCCAAAATCAACAAGTTGTGCAAGTCAAGATTGTCGTTCTGACCACTTTTCCTATCAGAATAATCCTGCATAAGCCAGACCTTTTAGGGAGAATGATGAAGTAGGCCATAGAGTTAAGCTCGTTTGACATAACCTATAAACCTAGAATGGCAATTAAAGGGTAAACAGTAGCTGATTTCTTACTAGAATATGATTCAGAGGACATAGAATATGATTCAAGCAAAAAAAAAAAAAAAAGTGAGATTCCAGAACTGAGGCTTGAAACGGAGGCCAAGACAAGTTTTTCTGGAAAAACACGAAGAAGAAACCCCCCCTAAAATCGAGTTTTCTACCTGACTACATGAACGGAATAAAAAAAAAACTCACTATGAAATTCCCAAAATGCCCCTAGATCAGAATTGGACAAGAGGGCAAAAAGCTGCCACAGCATCTGTCTACATCTAAGATCAAAAACGGGCAAGAAGATGAATTTTTCTAGAAAAACACAAAGAAAAAACCCCCCTCAAAATTGAGTTTTCTACATGACTCGTGTAAGAATTAAAAAAAAATGCAATGTAGAATATCCGAAATGCCCCTCCATGAAATCTGGTCATGGAGGTCCAAAAAGCTGCTAAATAAAAAAAAACAGAAAGCTGAACTTTGTAATGGATTTCCGATACCAAGACGATATTTTCTAGAAAAACACGAAGAATAAACCCCCCCTAAAATTATGTTTTCTAAGTGACCATGCTGAAAGAAGAAAATAAAACTAATGTGAAAAGTCTATAATACCCCTAGAACAGATTATGTAACTAAATTGAAAAATGATTTCATAGGAGGCTCAAATCACAAAGGAAAGTGTTTTTCCCAGAAACGATCATGCATGCAGACGTAAATGGTGATTTTGAGCGCGTGGGAATGGTCCGCGGCTCCCGGAAATGGCCGAGTCAAAATCTGACCCCCTAACGGCCAAAAAGGCGAAAATTAACTTGAAATGAGAAAAGTCAAAACCAAAATTTGGAAATGGTTTCAAATGACCATTTGGTCCTTGGCCACACTTCATACATGATTAATGAGACCCTATGAAAGAATCAAAATGGAATTCCCACGCCCTATGCAAAAGTTATGACATAACAACACATAAATTTTCAATATTTCCATATGAACTTTGAAAGCACAAGTGTATAGAATACGAGATACATGATATTGGCCTCTGGCCTCATCTTATACATGTTGAAAAGGAGTGTAATTATGTACACTTTACATATGTGGGATCGAAGAATACAAGTTTTATCAAAATAAACAAAAGTAAACATGATATGCTAACATGTGCATATTCAATATCATCAAAAATACTTCAAGACTTCTAGCCTATCTAAGAGTGTTATGTATCCCACAATAAAGCTTCTTCACCTGTAAAACACCCAATAACTTCGGGGTGAATAAACAAGACTAACAAGTTTATTCGTAGGGGATGAGCATGCATCGACTCGATTTCTTTAGAGATTTTTAGGACTAACATGATATAGTTCAAAAGGGATCATGCCACCTAACGTCTATATCAAAGATTAGATTCAGGGATCATCCTAAGATACCATGAAGTATAAGCAACAAGAATCATGATATATATATATATATATATAAAACAAGTCAAAGTTGGGATAATCCAAGAACATGACAAAAAGGTTACTTGAACATAGATTAACATGAATTGCATTATCAATACAATTAAACAAGGCTTAGAATAATTCCATACAACACGACAAAAGGATACTAGAACATAGATTAATATGAATTGCATTATCAATATAATTAACATGATTGGAGCATTCCAATTAACACAAAAGGGTTAATACACGAAATCAAGAACGTGGCATAATATCTATGCTATTAGACAAAGTTGGAACCATTCACATAACACGAAAAGAGTTACACATGACATCAAGGATAATGCATAATATCTATGCATTTAAACATGGTTAGAATCTACCACATAACATGAAAAGATTCTTAAATCTTCAAGGAATACAACACCTGAAATTTAAGGAGTTAAATCACGAATGAAGCATAAAATCAATGCACTGAAACAAGATTGGTGCATTTCACATACACGACAAGTTTAAATCTTCAAGGAATAGCAACTTGAAATTTAAAGAGTGAAATCAACCAATGTGGAAACTTGGATATCGCCCGGATTAAAACCGTACTCTTGAGATCACTTTAGGGCTACTAACCCATGGGTACCTTTCCCCTAGTGTGCACTATAGTGTGGAGGGACATTCCCCCGTACTAGAACCGAGTCCTAGCCATGTCAATTCTTGATTGATATCCCAAGTCCCAAAATCAACAAGTTGTGCAAGTCAAGATTGTCGTTCTGACCACTTTTCCTATCAGAATAATCCTGCATAAGCCAGACCTTTTAGGGAGAATGATGAAGTAGGCCATAGAGTTAAGCTCGTTTGACATAACCTATAAACCTAGAATGGCAATTAAAGGGTAAACAGTAGCTGATTTCTTACTAGAATATGATTCAGAGGACATAGAGGAAGACCTTCGAGGTTGCTCGTGGAGACTCTTTGTGGATGGATCTTCAAATCAGATAGGGGCAAGCATTAGGGTCAAATTGCAAACACCAGAAGGCACTTCCCTAAGTCAAATGCTCCAGCTTGAATTCCGAGCCACAAATAATGAAGCGGAATATGAGGCATTGCTGACTGGACTCAGGCTAGCTAAAGAACTGAAGGTCAGGAATTTGAGTGTTTTTAGTGACTCACAGTTAATTGTTCGGCAGGTGAGTGGCGAATATAAAACCAAAAATGAAACAATGGAAGCATACAGTTCTGCCATTATGCAAGAAACCAAAGACTTTGAGAAAATTGAGTTCACCCAAATACCAAGAGAGCATAACGAAGATCCCGATCGGTTAGCATGCAGTGCCTCGAGTTTTGGGGAGACATTGGCAAGGGTGATTCTAGTAGGTATACTAAGCCAGCCATCCATCTTTGAAGAACCTTCAGACTCAGATTCTTAGCAGGTGAATGTCATTCCATATGAGCCAAGTTGGATTGATCCGATCGTAACTTATATTCAAAATGGTATTCTGCCCGAGCAAAGGGATGAGGCTAGGAAAATCAAATTAAATGCTGCAAAATATGACATAGTGCATAACCAGCTATACAAAAGATCTTTTTCTGGGCCATACTTGAAATGTGTGACCCCCACAGAAGCTCGGCAGATATTACGAGCTATTTATGAAGATGTATGTGGAAATCATTCGTGGGGAAGGTCTTTAGCACACAAAGCAATGACGCAAGGTTATTTCTGGCTGAACATGTTAAGAGATGCAGAGGAATTTTCTAGAAGGTGTGATAAGTGCCAAAGTTTCAGACCATTAACCACCCGAGGACTTGCACGTAATGGCCACACCATGGCCTTTCACAAAATGGGGGATGGATGTGGTTGGTCCTCTGCCAACTGCTAGAGCTCAAAGCAAGTACGTTCTGCTGGCAATAGATTACTTTACTAAGTGGGTTAAGGCAGAACCATACCCTAGTGTGACCCAGACTCATGTGAGATGCTTTATCTAGAGTAATATTATTTGCCGTTTTAGCGTTCCGAGATCAATTGTCATGGATAATAGGACAAACCTCGATAGTAAGCAAGTAAAAGAGTTGCTGGAAGGGTATGGAATCAACCAGAAATTGGCAGCATTTAGTCATCCGCAGGCAAATGGTCAGGCTGAGATCACAAATAAAACAATCTTTGCTTGTATCAAGAAGAAGCTTGAGGATAAAAAGGGAAAATGGCTAGATGAACTCCCGAATGTGTTATGGGCTTACAGAACGACCCCGAGACGACCGACCGGGGAGAGTCCATTCGCAATGACATATGTTTCCGAGGCAATTATACCGGTTGAGCACTTGGTTCCAACTGTCAGAAGCCTAGCATGGAGTCAAAGTCAGAACAACAGTATGTTAAGATTCAACCTTGATATGTTAGAGGAAAAAAGGGACACTGCAGTAATAAGGCTCACGTCTTACCAGCAAACACTGGCAAATAGTCACAATAAAAGAGTGAAGCATAGAGACTTTGTCCCCAGTGATCTGGTTCTGAAAAAGAAGGTGGGAATAGTCAAAAAGATGATGCCACCATGGGAGGGTCCATACAGATTTGCATAAGTCATAGAAAAGGGGGCATATACCTTAGAAACCATGACTGAAAGGCTGGTTAACAAGCCATGGAATGCTACATCTCTGAAAAGGTACTATCAATAGAAAGTTGAGTTCCAATTCTGACAATGTTCATTCTTCAATCGTGTACGTATGAGTGTATGGAAATTGAAGTTCTATAAAAATATTGTTTTCTTATGAAAAGTTGATTAAGCATAAAAGTGAAAGTGGCAAGTGGCATTCTAGTCGAGCGCCAATCACTTCAGCAAAGTGTAATACCCTTAATTTTAAAAGGATAGTCCTAGTATTTAATTTATTTGTTTAATTGCATTTTTAATTATTTAATTATTTATTTGAATTATTTGAATTACTTGAATTATTTGAATTATTTGACTTATGTGAATTAGTTGAGTTATTTGACTTAATTTTAAATTGGTAAGTTGTTTATATGACATAATTTTTATTTCTTTGAATCACTATTTTAATTTACTTATTTGTTTTCATTTAATGATTTAGATTAGGGTTCTTTTACGAAATCATGGTTGTAGCAGACGTAGGTTTTAATTAAGTTTTTATGGGCCGATTAGGATTCAGTTTAGGGCTTGAATTAAGTTAGGGTTTGGTATAACTCTATAAATATGTAGGATACGTCTGTTTAGGGTTTAAAATAAAAAGAAAAAAAAAACCTATTCACGTCTGTGGAGGCAGAGAGAGAACAAAGGAGGAATTTTGTAGTCAGAATCGCTGGAACCTTAGAAGACGACGTAGAGATTTTGAACAAAAGTCTCAAAGGCAAGTTCTGTCTTAACTCTCTCCCTTAGGCTCATGTTCTTTGTATGACTAAAACAATTCCAAAATTTAATAAGGATTAAAAATTGAACTGGATTGCATGTTTTAAATGTTTAAAACTGGATGTGTGTTCAAGTTGTTTAATGTTTGTATTAAACTCTTTGTTGTGTAATATCTATTTTAATTCATGTAAGTTGATGAGTAATGATTTTAATTAGTTCAATACCATGTTGGGAATCACTGGAATTAATTTAGTTTGCAAGTTTGGTGTGTTAAAACAGTTAGGGTTCGGGAATGCATAAACTGCTCGTATTAAACTCTTGATGCAAAAATCATGCTTTAAATTGATTTTGGTAACTGGACAAAGAATTTAGAGTATTTTGGAATACGTTGGAACCTATTTTAAACACTTAGGAACCCTAGGTATGAAGGTCAGTTCTACGAAAACTCACCGGAATTGAATACGATGCAGAACAGAGAAGAGACGGCTCAAGATTTCAAAGAGCCGGATCTTTGGAGCAAAGAGCAGGCTCCATGGGAACATGGAACCAGATCTAAGGGGTCTTAGAGCCACCTCCAAGACTTGGAGAGCAGGCTCCACGCAAGAAAGAGCAGGCTCATTCAACCGGCTTCCAGTTTTACATTTTTTGCGATCTATTTAGCTACGGAACTCAGATTTTGGGCATTTCAGATTCTATAGGAAGCTATACTTGGGTGTTTTGAGATGTTCTAAGTCTAGTTAACACTTGTGAGAGTGGATTAATGCTTAATAAACTAGTAGGTGTTTATAGCTTGAACACTGGTAAGTCTCGACGAAAATTGTTTTTATTTCAGTGCAGAGGGATTTTAGATTACTGAACCTTAATTTATTTATTCTCTGTGAGGGGAAATTTTATTAATATGATATTATTAATGGTGGACAAGCATGATAATTAATATGGTTTTATTAGACTTATCAAGGTTTTATGGACGAGAAGAATAATTTATCTGCATGCTCAGAGTAAGACAATTTGTAAAGGAGATATGGGATGAACCTAATGCTTATCTATTTAATTTATGTTCATCATGGAATTAATTGATATGTCTTATTATTTTGATCTATCAGTTACTGGAGTAAGCATGTTAGTCTATATTTCTATTTATGCTTATTATGGTTCAGTTGCTATGTGCATTGATTATGTATTCTATCAACTGTTGGATGGATTGGATTGTATGTACCGGTATGGGATGGTGACATACTAGGTTTGGATTAGTTCAAATTGCTAAGTCCTACCTACTTTGGAATAAAGGAATGGATTATAAAAAAAAAATTGAATCCTCCTTATGTATAAGTCTGTGCAGTTGAATAAGCTGAACGACTTAAGTCTATGCGGTTAAATAAGCTGAACGACTTACTAGATTTCTTATGGATGAATGTGAACAGATTTTAAATATATTATTATGGTATCGTGACTTATGCTTGAGTCTCAGAGTCAACGGTTAGGGAGCGTATATGCAATAGGATGCGTAACTGGCTATGCTAGTTGAGGTGTACCCTGTTAGGCTTAGGTAGTCATGCCCACTCAGGTGCGTTTTGCATGTTACCTTCTACTCAGGTTGAGACCCGTATCATAGTCCAGTGAGAGTCCATAGTGTGGATATATATATATAGACACGAATTATATAGTTATTGTTGAATTAGTTAAAGTGTATATGTGTATCGAGTCTCTGCTTGGATTGTAGTAGGATAGAACTTGTTTGTGGGCCTAACCCACTCCTATTTTTCAGGTGTACGTCAGTTCCAGGCTTGAGCTTGTTCGTGCTGAGCAGAGGTGACCACTCATTCTTCCGACGACGTAGGAGCTCTATTTATATGGTTTTCTTTTAGTTTTTCAGTTCAGTTTGGTTTTCTTTTTAGGGGTCCATATGATGGATTCCCGAGTTGTACTCTTGGAGGTTATGGAGTTGGATTATTATTATTTGGGATTTTAAGTATTTAATTTTAAAGGATTTTATATTTTAGATTTCTTTCAGCTTAAACTATTATTTCTTAAATTCATCTTGTATTCTGTGTTCACTTTAAAATATTAAGTGTTTGATATTCCCTCGGGTTTGGGCCTGGACCTGATCAATCCGTGTCTCGGATCCGAGGGGTATCACACAAAGTAAGTGGCAGCTGGCGCTATTAGCCGAATGCCAAAAACTTGCCCAAAATAAAAGTGAAAATGGAAAGTGGCATTCTAACCGAGCACCAATCACTTCAGCAAAGTAAGTGGCAGCTGGCACTATTAGCCGAACGCCAAAAACTTGCCCAAAATAAAAGTGGAAGTGGCAAGTGGCAAGTGGCAGCTGACACTATGAGCCGAACGCCAAAAACTTGCCAAAAATTAAAAGTGAAGTGGCAAGTGGCATCCTAGCTGAGCGCCAACCACTCAGTAAAGTAAATGGCAGCTGGCACTAAGAGCCGAAAGCCAAAAACATGCCAAATATAAAAAGTGAAGTGGCAAGTGGCATTCTATCCGAGCGCCAACCACTCAGTAAAGTAAGTGGCAGCTGGCACTATGAGCTGAACACTAAAAACTTGCCAAAAATAAAATGTGAAATGGCAAGTGGCATTCTAGCCGAGCGCCAACCACTCAAGAAAGTAAGTGGCAGCTGGCACGATGAGCCGAACACCAAAAACTTGCTAAATATTAAAAAGTGAAGTGGCAAGTGGCATTCCAGCCGAGCGCCAACCATTTGACAAAAAAAAAAATGAAAGTAAAGATGAAAGTGAAGATTGATTGCCACCACAAGTATGTAAGAAAGAGTAGCAGCAAGTTATTAAAAAGTGTGGACAAAGTTCAGCCAAAAATTCATTTCATTCATAACATCTTGAGTTTACAAGGGCAAAGTACATATATGAAATGAAAATCAAATGAAGAAATTGATACATCAGAAGGGCCCTAACTAGTTGCATCTGCCCCATCGGCTTCCTTATGGTGCTGAGCAGTCCCATCGTTATCATTGGCCATCCCATCTCCATGAGGAGGAGAGTCAAGGTGAATAACAGAATCATTCTGTTGAGGCCTAACCTCAGTAGCAGTTGTGGAAA